GGAGGAAGAGGAGGAGGAGGAGGATGAGGAGGAGGAGGAGGAGAGTGAGGAGGAGGAGGAGGAGGAGGAAACTGAGGAGGAGGAGGAGGAGGACGAGGAGGAGGACGGAGGACGGCGGACGGAGGACCCAGGACGGAGGACCCAGGACGGAGGACGGAGGATGCAGGAGGGAGGACGGAGGACGGAGGACGGAGGAGGGAGGACGGAGGACGGAGGAGGAGGAGGAGGAGGAGGATAATAATAATACTACCAATCATTATAATCATATTAAGAATAAGAATAATAAGCATAAGGCTAGGAATACTAATAATAATAACCATGATAATACGAATAAAACTGATATGAATGAGACGAATAAGAATACGATGACTAAGACTATGAATAATGATAAGAACCACCATAATAATACGAATCAGAAGCATCATACCAATAATACAATACTGATGCTAGTAATCATAATAGCAATACTACTACTATTATTAGTAATAGTTGTATTACTACTACTACTACTACTACTACTACTACTACTACTACTACTAGTACTAATCATAATACTACTCATACTAATACGAATAATAGTACTACGGATAATAAAATATTAATGATCATGCTAATACTAATACTACTACTAACCATAATGATAACAGTACTACTACTACTACTACTACTAATCGTACTAATCTGAATAATAATACGAATAATAATAATAGTAGTAATATTAATAATAATAGTGATATGAATAATACTAATAATAAGAATAATGATGATAATCATAGTAGTATTAATAACACTAATAATGATATTACTACTACTACTACTACTAACACTAATAATACTATACGAATACTAATATTACGTATACTAATATTAATAGTAATATTTTAACAAATCATAAAAATCATACAAATAATACTAACAATAATAATAATCATCATAGTAATAATAACAACAATTATACTAATGAGAGAAACGATCAAGAGGAGTAATAACAATACTAATCATAATAATAATAAGAATAATGATAATTATAATAAGAGGAGGAGGCGGAGGAGGAGGAGGCGGAGGAGGAGGCGGAGGAGGAGGAGGAGGAGGACGACGAGGAGGAGGAGGAGGAGGAAGAGGAGGATATGTCTGGGGGCGTAGTCGCCCGGGGAGGGGCGCCCGGGGGTCGGCCCGGCCACCCGACCTGCCCATCTCCGAGGCCGCGGGGAGCGAGCCAGGCCCCCCAATGAGCTGCCACGCCCCTCCCCCCCTCCGCCCTGCGCCCCCGAGCAGGCGAGGTCCTGGGGCCCGAGGCTGCGTCCCCGCGGAGTGGCCCGAGTGGGCCACCGCGCCACGGTGGCGCTCAGTGCCCGGCACCGGGGGGGCGCAGCAGGGCCCGATCTCCCGAGACGAACGAAGCCCCAGGCTTCCGATGGCCCCCCCTCCTCCTCCTCCTCCTCCTCCTCCTCCTCCTCCTCCTCCTCCTCCTCCTCCTCCTCCTCCTCCTCTTCCTTGCTCGCGGGGCGCGCCAACCACGCTTTTTCCGCCGCCGCTGTTGCGTTTTTTCCCTACCTAGGCTCTGCCTAGAAGGGTTCTTACTCGGTAAGCTTAAAGGGCCGGGCAGTGGGAACCGCCCCGGGCGGTTCCCCCGGCATCCGCCCCGCGGTTCCCCCAGTGACGTTCCCTTAAGTTAGCGTTGCTTATCGCATCTTAGCTTAGCCTAGCTTTACTTAGCTTAGCTTAGCTTGGCTTCGCTTAGCTTAGCTAAGCTTAGCCTCGCCTAGCCTAGCCTAGCTTCGCTCAGCTTAGCTTAGGTAGCTTAGCTTAGCTTAGCTTAGCTTAGCTTAACCTAGCCTAGCTTAGCTTAGCTTCGCTTAACTCAGCTTAGCTTAGCGCATCACAGCATTAGCATATCATGCCATATCATAGCGTAGCATAGCATAACATATCATAGCGCAGTATAACATAGCGCAGCATAGCATAGCATAGCACATCATGTCATATCATAGCATAGCGCAGCACATCATAGCATAGCATAGCATATCCCAGCTTAGCTTCGCATATCACAGCGCAGCATCGCATACCATATCATACCATGTCATAGCATATCATAGCACATCATAGCATAGCGCATCATAACATAGCATAGCATAGCATCGCGCCGCATATCATAGCATATCATATCATAACATAGCGCATCATATCATATCATATTATAGCATAGCAAATCATAGCGCTGCATAGCTTATCATATCATAGCCTAGCATATCATATCATAGCGCAGCATCGCACAGCGCAGCTTACCATGCTCCAACTTACATAGCCTAGCATAGCTTAGCAGCTTAGTGCATAGCCTAGCATAGCTTAGCATAGCATAGCTCAGCTTAGCTTAGGTAGGGTCGCACTGGGATAATTTTTGGCTGGCGCAGACCGCCGCAGCAGACCGCCGCCGCCGCTGGTGCCGCGGTCGCCCCCGCGGGCGGCGCGCCGCGGCGCAGCTGCTTCGCCGCGCCACCCTCTGGGCCCCTCTCGACTTGGCATCGCTCGGGGGTGTGGTTTTTTTCTCGGCGAGGACCATCGTCGAAGGAGAGAAACGCCATAAACATAAACTTTTGGCGCTCCGCGCGGATTTCTTTGATC